TATAGCCAGAGACACAATCATCAATATTGATAAGGATTCTTTTTTCATAAAAAAGAAGCTAATGTATCGTTACAAATCAAAGAGCAATGTCATGATCTATGAGATGAATGTTAATGGATAACTTCTAATTATATTTAGGTTTAAATCACTATTCTCTGTTAATTGCCTAATTAATCACTTGCATGTTAAAACACAAGACAGATTTAAGTGTCTTTTGTGAATGAAAAAAGTGACAGCTACACTTATTAGGGGAACGCTATAGGTTTTGTTGATTTATTGATTTATCATTCAGTGAAAAAGGATGTCAAAAAATTGTGAAAATGTTAATTATAATTCCACATTGCCCAAGATGTCTGAACGACAATAAAAAAAATGTTCACCATTAACAATTGTAAACTGGAAAACCTTCAGAGTTCAGATGTTGCAATCAGTAAAATTCAATAAAACAATAAGGAAAACACTTGCAGGTTAATTCACTGGTATAGAATCAATACTCGCTCACTCACTAATCAAAATGAAACCGAGGAACAGTACACTCACATACACATCTACTTCGCTTAACAGTTTGATTAGTTTAAAGGTGACATTGCATAAATTTGCCATATTGTGATATATATTTAAATATATATCAATATCTAAAAAATACATTAAAAACTTGACCAGTAACGGAAAGAAAAACACTTCAATTCACACACCATCACACACAGAGAGGCTTCATTCGGCATGGCAGTGGAGAGTGACGGGCTGCCAGTGACAGTTGGTGCCATCACTGGTGCTGGCTGTCTGCCATCAGGCTTTAAACCCCCCACTCCGCACACACACACATAAATGCACCCCCAGCAGGAGACGAGAAGAGCTGTTTATCGGACTTACTCCAAGACTGCCAGGATCGCCCTCCCCCACCCACCACTTGCCAGCGATGGGCAACGCTCCACAGACCGCCGCCATATCTGCCCTTTCTAACTGCCCCCCACCAGCAGAACATCCACCACAAAGCTCTGCTAAGCCCACCCACTGTTTCACACATACAGCTACTGTTCTACCTGTCCCCACATGTTCACCCCAACCATATGCCACCAAAATCCTCCCCTGGTTAAATCTATAAACCTATTTGGTTTTTAGCTCTTATACTGACGTCACCCCATCAGTGTAAGATCTGACCTTTTTACTTAACCCAAAGCTTTTGTTGGGTTAATGCATTTTACATCCACTGATATATTTATGTAGGACGGCAAAAGCTCTAATGGCACATTTGGATATTGGATATTTTCAATTATGAAAGCATAATTATGTGATGAAATATCCAAAGTGATTCCTTTGGCAACTTTCTTTTTTCAATCTGTAGTGCACTCAAATGAGAAAGGAGATTTGTAATATTAACAAAAAATATGAACCATCAATTATTTCACGATCAATAATTCAAGTAATGTACTAAGCAAAAAAATTCCAAACATCAGCTGGTTTAACTCTCTGAAATATGACGATTTGCTTGTTTCTACATGTTGTATCTGGTTTTAAATTAAACAACTTTGAGTTTTGTTTTGCTGCTGACAGAAACAGGCAGGTTGAAGCCATCTCTCTGGGCTTTTAGAACTTCTGACAGCATTGTCACTCATTTCTGACACTTATTGATTCACTTAAAGAAAATGACGAATTAATCAATAAAGAAAATCAACAACTCAACACTTTAAAAGAAAGGAAATGAGTGATCAATTGATTTCTGCAGTAGCATAACCTTTCACAAGAGGAGCTACATTTACACACATCATTACAGTGCCTCCACCTGGCTCCACGTTTCTGAGAGTGCATTTTATGAATAAATGACTCTGTACAGTTTTACTGTGACATCCCCGACTGGCATTAATATATAACCACTTACCTGTCATTAATATAACCACTTACCTGTCATTAATATAACCACTTACCTGTCATTAATATAACCACTTACCTGTCATTAATACAGTTTGTAGCACATGTACTAACAGAGATTACAAAGAACTAAATAATAAACCTGCTTCCATTGTTCTAGTTCATTATGGAGCAGAAAAACAACCACAATGCTCGGAAAGGTCGTGAGATATTGGAGCCATTTAACACTGCTATGGCTAACGCTAGCTAACAGCGGCTAACGATGGCTAACAACAGCGAAAAATGTCTAACAGTGGCTAACATGCTATGCTACCATGTTAGCAAACCACTCTGGCTGGATCATGGATTTAGGTTTTGTGTTATTCACGAACCTTTTTGCTCTGGCTGACTCATGAAGACAAAAAAAATATTCTGCTTTCAACCTTCTTCACCGGCCATTTTCTTAATGTCTGTCAGTTACTGTCAGTCAGTAGTTCACATGTAATTGTTGCTGAGGATTTCTGCAGCCAGACATTCTTGGGGGACCTCTCAGCTCGGGGCCCAACCCTGTTGCAACACCCAGGATCCCTGGACACAAGGGTTTCTTTTATTTGAGTGGAACAATCCTTTACCTGTTATCACCAGCTCATCATTGATTAAGCACATTTAAAAAATGTGACATTTTTATTTAAATATGAGGAAAATCCAATCCAGGAAGAAGAATTTGGATTAAAGTGAAACAATGCTGCTACACAAGGTGGAAAAACCAGTGCACACAAACACACTGTGAGCCAGACTCTCTACTGCTCTCACTGTCCCACTGTAAAATCCTCATCATCCTAATAGTGGTCATAAGACTATAATCACCATCATCACCCCTGCATGGGAGGTTTGTTCAGGTACAGTAAGTCCGGTGCAGCTTGTCCTTATTAACTTGCCACACAGTGACCCTGGGCCTGTGTGGAAGCAGCCTCCAATCTGTCTCCCGTAGCGACTGTGCCATTCAGCTACGAAGGCTTGGCCTTGGACCGGTCCTTGGTTACCTAGGTGACAGCTGAGTGTGACGACCTTCCATCCCAAACGTCACTTGAACCCATTTTCCCCTGAGTGAATATGTGAGGAGTATATCACGTCCTCATATCATCTCCTCCAGCAGAAATGGTGGAGACATCTGGTCTTTTATAATTAATCAGAAAGGCTAAATCTGCCCATGAGGAGATGGATAAGATTATTAGATGAGGAGAAAACACTGTCCTGTTGATGGAGACCAAGCGGTAACAACAAAAAACAACCATATACAGCTGATGTGTTGAGTCACCGGTGACTCATGTTTAGTTCAGCTGAAGCTGTCATCAAATTCACATCAAACTCACAATACGAAATCAAAATTCAAGCAAACTTATCAAATAGAAAAAATAAAAAGGACCTTTGTTCAAGAGACATGCTAAAGCAGGTATAAAAAGTGCACTCAAATTCATTGTCACAAGGTTCCCATGCCAACTGATTTATGTTTTTATGAATTGTGTTTTTCTAAAATTATGACAGAAATCAATCCATGTCTGATTCCTAGGGAAGTACTTTTGCCATCATCAAAGTTGATATATGAAAGAAAACAATCATAAATTCAATAACATTTTATATTGGACAATCTCCACTTCAAAATACCCATCAATTTCTCATTTATCTCCTGTCTAGCTGAAAGGATCGAAGGGTGCTGAAGGAGTAAACTTGTATCATATGACTTTGGAATAATGGATCCACATGTTCCATTTAAACTGTACAAACTTGTTCCTAATGTGCCACATACTTTACAGTAAGAAAACCAGGATTTCATGCATAGCCTGTTGTTTGAATTGAGTTTATGTTCTTAAGAGGGAGGGAGTGGATTTTGAGACCCCAACACTATTCAGTCCTACAGCCAGTCAACATGATAATGATCATTCATCAGATCTGATCTGATCTGTCCAATCAGACACAGCAATGCTTGTGAGAGTCTGTCTCTGTTGACCTGGTGCTTCTCTCCCTTTCCACCCCCACTCCAATGTGCAGACATGGGGTTGCTTAGCAACCCAAGAGCAGCCTATGGAGAACATGGACACTCATTCGTGCAGACACACACACACTCGGAAAAAAACCCAGTAACTCTGAAGGAGGATGATAATGTACTCCCACCCCTCCATCACGCTCTGTGACCCCCAAAATGTGAAAAGAAAACTCAACGCCACTGTCTGGTGGAGATTCAATCCAGGGACAGTGGCCCATTGACAAACAAAGACACACACACACACACACACTTAAACATGTGCACATGAAGGCCAATGCCGAAGCAGAAATCTGTCCTTGCACTCAACTGTTGGCATCACATACATACTGTACATCCAAAATAATAGCGAGGTCTCTCATACAAAAAAGCTCATGTTATCTCATCATATCTACATCCACAGCCTCCCTTAATATTTGACGATTGCGATGGATTACCAGTGGACTTTTAGCCTGGCAGCCATGAAATCAACATTTTCTGAAGACAAAGAGCTTTAAGAGACGAAAGTTAAAAGCTCTGCAGCGTCTCCCCAGTCTAACACTATTAGCACATTAAGTGAGTGCTTAAATACAGTCAGCAGACGATGGATCAACTCGCTGCCTTGAGCGATAGACAGCACTGTAATCCCCTAAAGGGGGGTTTCACTACAGTAATGGCAACCCCCATGCAACTGCAGCCCCTGTGGAGTGGTGGGACTAGGTAGATTATGAAAAGCCACGGAGTAATGCTAAAGCCCTTACAGCCCCAACACACACACACACACACACACACACACACACACACACACNCACACACACACACACACACACACACACACACACACACACACACACACACACAAGGAGGTTGCACATGTAAATACAGCCACAACATGCATATTGACACACAAATAAACACACCTGAGAGTGGGAAAGGTAAAGACAGAGAGGTGTTCGTACACAAAAATATATAAACTAAATAAACACACACAACGTCCAGGGGAATATTCTGACTAATTCCTCAGTGGGGTGTAATGCTTCATCTCGTTTTACGTGTGTACGGCATGTCAAGAGAGGAGGGGGATACTTTTACTCCCCGAGGATTATGGGTTGGTGATGGAATGACTTCATGGGCCTATAGGGCAAGGGGGTTGTAGGAGGCTGAGAATGGTTTTATTTATTTTTGTGGCAAATTAAAGCCACAGCCTCAGGGGCAAGAGAAAGATAAATACACTGAAACACGGTAACATAAAAAGGTAAGGAGCACATTATAGCCTGATCCCTGCGAGACAACAGATTGATAACGGTGATAAACACTGCTGGGAACATGGTTACCTGACACTGTTAGTTGTTATTACACGTCGACTGTGAAAACAAATGTATACTTAATCAAAGTAATAGAGGAGTTGATGACGAAGCCATTAGACCTGGGTCAAATGACAAAATCCCTTGAAAAAACTAGCCCAACTTCAATAATTTTTAATCTATAATACTTAACTAACTTCCCAACATCCAAAAGACATGAAAAGAAAATACAGGGATCCTACCTGCCTAACTACACAATTATCAGGACTGCTCAGAATATCATTCAAATGTAACGAACAGAACACACTCTTAACAAAATAGTGATGAAACAACAATTAAGATCAGACGGGTTTTAAAAACAAAGGCACGGTCATGTTGGGAGCAAGGAAAAAGGCATCGGCAGGTGACTTTTTTAAAGTTAGCTCCAGCAGCAAACTGAGACACAGGAAATACACAGAGCAGGGGAACAGCCCCAGGCAGGGAGGGAGAACAACAACATAAACACACACATACATACATACAATATGACTCAGAGTCATAACATGAGGTCAAATCCCAGACACCAGAACTCTTCTCTCACTGTCACTGTGTGGAGTCCAAAATGAACTGTGTAGAAAGTGTGTAGGAGCACATTTCAGAGCATTTAGAGTCGCCTGGTACCACTTGAGTGAGTGACTTTTTGAAATCCTAACCCTAACCAGATGTTCCAAAGCCTAAACCTGACCAGTTAGTGTTAGGTTAACCCTAACTTTTGTTCTAAAGGTCGTAGAGACTTGAAAGTAGGCTACGCCTATACTAATTGGAGAATTCCCCATCGATTGGTACCATCCCCGAATCTCTAGAACCTTGGGAAGTGTTTGAGCCCTTTTTTGGGTTGGGGTTGGGGTTAGGTTTGGGGTTAGGATACAGGATGATAAGCACACTGAGGTGGGCCCTTCTCAAATAACTTTTTTTATGAAGGTCGTAGAGACTTGCAAGTAGGCTCCGTCTATACTACATCGGGTACGCCCGATCGATTGGTACCATCCCCAAGTCTATATGGCCTTCAGAAGTGGGTAAACGGTAAAAAGCAGTGGGCGGTACTGAGGCTTTCTTGAATAACATTTTTTGTGAAGGTCATAGAGACTTGAAAGTAGGGTTAAGAGTCAGGATTAGGGGGTTAGGGTTAGGATTAGGGGGTACAGAAACCAAAGCAAAGCCTTAGTGATCCTCACTTATGAACGAGGGTCACACAGGCTTTGCTGGGTAGGTACACACATGTACCTATTTTGAGACCCAAATCTGCATATAGATTTGGATTTCGTGTGACCTGACACTTTCATCTGCTCATAAGTACAGCACTTACACAGTATGTTCACCTAAAAAGCCAAGAGCTGACAGCTTTACTCAGTGGGGAGTCAATCCTCTGACATTAACAGTAGTCCAGTTAAACAAACACACACTTTGCCCCTATTTGACTAATAAATCCCTAAATATTATACTGTAAGTAAGACTTAAAACCATTCCAAGTAATATTTGTTGTGAGGCAGACATAGGTGACCTCTGGGGGAGGGGAGGTCATTAGTGGCGGTCACTGAATGTTTTCTTTCTATGAGCAAAACAAGGCATCAGCAGCCTGGGGAATTCATAAAGATACATACACACACAGCTTGTCCCGGCCTCGCTCAGCAGTTGAGACTGTGTGTGAAAAGAGAGAGTGAGAGACAGGGACAGACGTCTCAGCAGTATCAACGCATCCCACATGCTCAAGGCCTTTTTGTATGAAGGTGTGTTGTTACACAGAAAAGTGATGGGGGACGAAATCCAGTATTGTTGCTGTCTGTAAAAAAAAGAAAAGTACAACTGAGACTTCAGCAGTTTTTGTGAATCAGTCTTTATATTGATTAGAGTCTTGTGCTGGAAACATAACCACCACAAATTAAACGGAAGGTTTTAAGTTGGCTGACCTCTTCTTTTTAGACGTGTGATATATTGTTGACATTTGTTGTTTTAGTACAAAATCCATCTTTGTGTATCCAGTGTAGAACGCTGCAGTAGAGGATAATAACATTACAAGTGAAATTCATTCTAAACATTAGATGCCCACTTTAGCCGCCTATTCCTCAGACTGCAAAAAACACATATGAGCTTCTGCTGTACTTTTATTTTTACACAAAACAAGTTAAGTGGATTTTAACCCCCATCACTTACGATGAACTCACATCAGGAGGGGATATTTTAAGGAGGAACAATTAATGGGACAGATGTCTTGATGTACACGAGTACACATGAGCATTGTCTTAAGGCAGGCTTAAGAAACTGTCAACCTCTCCTTTATGGATGAAGGACTAATGTAAAAACATCATGGTGATATTAAAGAAGATTCTTGAAGCTGCAGGTGCTTTTACACAAACTGCAGGAGAGAAATTTGGCTTTTTACAGGCAAACACATGAGCCCAAGGACTCATGTACTCACACATTGATTCAGCCTTTTAAGCACACACATCCAATTGAGCGAGGATATGATGACACAAGTGCAAACACTGACTGAAAATTCTGAAAATAAAGGGCAGACCGTTAAACATGCTGAGAAAGGCTTCTAGCTTACTGCAATGATATCCAAAACAATGTCTACAACTCTTTTGCATGTCCACACTGCCTCCTAGTGTCTGACAATCAGCAGTGCAACAATATTAGATTATTATTTTTACATGAGTAAATTATTTAATTTAACTTTGCAAAGACAGGATGAAACTAAAAGCACAGTCCTTTAACAATATAGTTATGCATTTTTTGCAATAACATTTGCATTTGAAGTACAGTGTAAATATGTTTGAGGAGATGGGCAGTAGATAAGAACAATGTTGCATGCCACATTTCTAAATCTAATATCAACTAGCCTTTTTTACTGGCTTCATGAAAAACATTGTACTACTCTCATCTTGAGGAATGACATGGCAAGCCGATTGGTTCAGTGGCTGACAGGGAGGAAAACCATTGGAAGATTGGATCAACCTGTAGATTTTTTGTTTGTACAAAAACAGCTAATACTTTGTTGCTTATTATATCCAGTCAGTAATACAGTAATAACAAAGCATTTCCTTCTTAGTATGGCCCTTAATTCTGACTTTGAATCAGCAGAAGATGAAAGATAAAATGATGAAGTTTGAAATCAAATCATTTTGATCTCATACTTCATTTATAACAAAACCTGATGGAGGATAATTTTATAGTTGCCACACATCAAATAAAAAAAAACTAACAAACAAAAATTCTTAAATATTTTCAAGCTGTTGTAGGTGTTCATTAATACATTCAGGTGGGACACAATGGACAGCCCTGAAATAAGCTCTCGGGTTTGACAACAAAATTAAAGTGCAGAACCATTTTTTTTTACTTTTCAAATGGGATTCTGGCCTATGTCAGGCTCCTGCTGGTCTTCCATGTAGTAGGGATCTCCTTGATGGACTCTGTGATTGTGCACCCTCAAATTCCCCCTGTGGGCAAATCTCTTCCCACACTCCGTGCAAGCGAAGGGCCTCTTCCCCATGTGAACATCCCGTTGGTGGGCTCTCAAGTTCCCGCTGCGGGCAAAACGTTTACCACACTGAGCGCAGCCAAAAGGCCGCTCCCCTGTATGTGTGCGAGTGTGAACTGTCAGCTCGGAGGGAGTGAGGAAGCTCTTGTCACAAAACTGACAGGGATGCAGTCTGACCCCTGTGTGGCGCAAAAGATGTCTGCGCTGGTGGGAGGGGTATGTAAAACACTTGGCACAGTATGGACAGGTGTAAGGTCGTCCATTCCCTCCACCAGGAGCTGGAGGGTGGCTGAGGGCATTTGTGTGCCGTAATGTGAGCGACTGCGAGTTGGACTGTGGTCTTAGAGGGTCTCTGTTGCCCAATGCTGTAACTCGCCGTGTATGATTAACAGTGCCTCTCCCACCATCTCTGAGTCTCCACGGTGATTCGCCAGTGGGAGCTTGAGGTTGATCCTGTAGAGCCTCCCTCTGCCCGACACCCTGACTGTGCACAGAGTTCTGATTGGAGTTCTGGTTCTCAGGCTCCTGGTCCAGGAAAGGGAAAGAACTATTGTCATCTTCATTACTGGTCTCATCGGAGCCAAAACCAGGTCGGAAGCAGGATGCATCCGTGCCAGTACTGCTGCTAGCTGGCCCAGGACAGCTGGTGCCATCTGCCTGCAGATTCTCTAGAGCGGACATCCTACCTCGGTTGGCCTCCAACGCTGGTAACCAATCCCCTGGCTGAGCTAAGCTTGGGTCCGGCCTAGGAGAACAACGTCCACTCTGGGAGATTGAAAGAAAAGGTGTGGAGGCTTGATCCTGGAGGGGTCTGTGGTCTGCACTGCGACTGCCCTGGTCCCAATGAGACACTGCAGACAAATTAGGGATAAAATTTAAATTGACACACTTTTTTCTCACCATCTATTTTGAATACTCAAAATATTTAAGAGGTCATCTTTATTTAACATAAAAGGGATTAATGGTTAATAGCAGGCCAAGAATTTAATAACTTGTTACATTTGGACTTGGCTTGTGTGATAGACAAAGTATCTATCTGCCTCTGGTCCCCAGCAGCAAGGCTTCCCTCCACAGTTTGAACTGCGATAGACCCCAGGGTAGGCCGTGAACCAGCATGCTGTGGAGAATAGATGAAACAAGTCTGTAAAACTCAGGAAAAAAACACTGAAAAGCCAGGTTCTCATAACACTCAGAAACCAAAATTATGCAACAACTTCAGTACATCAACCTTTTGAATCACTGAGAAGCAAGATAGGGTCTGACCTCATGCTTTACTGAAGCTCCATCCTGGCCTGTCACCTCCTCTTTCAGTCCACTGAGGCTCTGACTGAGCCCTTCTACTGGGTCTGGGTGAGAAGACATGTTCTTCCCCACATTAAGTCCTGTGAAAGAAAAGTAAAGGTGGTCAGTTTATCAGTAAAGTCTCTGATGTGAGTTCAGTGGCAAAAGTGTAACAAAGACAGAAAAATGTTAATCTCAATGTAAAATGGTGTTGAGCAAGAGATATTCAGATAATACAATTGCTGGATGGGTTTGAGCCTTGGATACAAGCTTATCCTAGACAATGAGCATGTTCTACCTCTGTCAAGAAGGTTATATTTTCATCTGTGTTGGTTTGTCTGTTCTTTAGCAAGATCATGCAAAAACTAACTACAAATTACTGAGAAACTTGATGTAAGGATACAATACGGGTGAGGGGGGAGCGAAGGAACCCATTCAATTATGGTGCATCCTGACCAGAGACACTTTATCTTTTCACTTTCTTATGCAAGAGAATTCGTGGCTCTTTAAATTTTTTTTAAAAATCTGGCATGTTTAGGGGACTGACATTTATGAATGTGTGCAATTAAATGCAGATCCAAATAAAATATGAGGATTGTGTGAATTTAAACGTGGTTTCATGAGGATACAGTAGGGCCTTGGGGGAGGTGTGTCATTCTAACTTTAGTTTTACAATACTATTCTCCATCAATGAGCATAGTGAGCTATATTACCTGATGCTGTCGGGGTCTGCTGCCTCATGCTGCCCTCTCTCTCCACCGGTGGCATCTCCCCTTCCTCGCTCGGGCCGCTCTTCGGCCGCTGCCTCCTCTCCACCTTCTCCAGCTTGCCTCGCAGGATGGAGATCTCCTCGGTCTTCTGCACCAGCTCCGCCTGCTGCTCGCACAGGCTGCCCTCGAAGATCTTGGCGATCTCGCACACGGCGGCGGCCAGCAGGGAGTCCATGACGGTGGCCAGCTGAGCGTGGAAGGCGCTCCTGACCGACTCCATCGCCCGAAGTTTCAACGGTAAAGCTTTGATGCCAACGATCGAGTCACCGAGCTGTTTACCTCTGCGCCCGGCCTCCGGAGCCAGCCGCCGGGGAACAATGTGGCCGCCACTGAACGCGCCTCTGCCCTGGCACTTAACAGCTGCCATCAGATGCTGCCATTCTGAGAAGCTACGACATGTCTACGCTGTTGTTTTAGTACAAAATCCATCTTTGTGTATCGCTTCGGCCATAAACCTTTATTTAAAATCCAATCTCCTGTTGGCTCAACACTTGATATCCCACCTTTGTGGCGTTTTAGCACTATATCAATAAAGCTTTATTTATTTTATTTCGCAGGCTAGCGCTACTGCTGTATACAGCGATGACATTCAATGTAGTGGAAGGTAGAAATCCAGTCTGCATATTAAAAGGCTAAAAACATGGTCTTCTTCAAGCTAGCTTAAAGAAAACAGGTTGTAAACAAGCAACACGGTCAGTGTTCTGACGTACGCTAGCTAGCATTAGCGGAAGCTAACGTGTAAACAAGAGACCCAATGAAGCGTAGCTAGTGCTACTGCTAGCCGGTTTAAGGTCGTACTCCAGCTGAATACTGCACCGGATACAGGCTGAAGTCGGTGATGACTCGACAGTCGGTGGCCACACGTCTTCACCGGTTTCACGTTTAATCCACGAAAACGCTTCACAATCACAGATTCGTTTACGCGTCGTCCAGCAGGCAGGTTGTCTGTGACGGGATCATGGTGCAAGTCTCGCGATAAGAGAAAAGGGCTCTAGGCACTGCACATGAACAAAAACTCATGAGAACCAAAAATAAATGATTTAAGTTGTGTAGAGATTCAGATTACTTATATTTTCAATATGGTGGTGGGACCACCACTCGACTTATTACACGATGCGCACTGCTTGAATTAAAGAAAAAACTCTAATACTCAAAAATATGTGAGCGTATATATATATATGGGTTTTATTGGGGTAATGTTGACAACACATTAATGTAGCAACACTATGATGATTATAACCCTTTTCATGTAACATAGATCAATAGGTTTGGTAGACAACAACAACAACAACTACTACTACTACCAGCACAGTAAAAAAAAAAAATTCTAATACCAAAGGCTCTTTATGGGAAATTGTGTCCATGTTGTTTCTCAAGACAAACTAAAGTCTGAATCCACAACAGTGAAATATTTTTTGGAATCTGTTGAGTAACAAGAAAGAGATAAGTTTACTAGTTACATAGAGTCCACAATCAAGGACATCATCTCTCACTCTGATGTGAAAGATTCAGTCAGTGATGTAGTTTCTCAAATTCTGCTAAAACCCTTATAAAAAAAAAAAAAAGAGACATACAGATGACTTGATATTTACTCACAGTAAATAAAAAGACATGGTGGAGCAATATTTCATGCAGCTTCTAAAAAGGTGGGGGTTTAAAAATGTACTCAATCATTGCAGCCAATAATGTAGTGTAGATCTGCTTTAAGGCAATATTGGTTTTCACAAGGTATTCTTTGAATTTGTAAAAAAAAAAACACATTTCCTCTACAACATTCTCTGAATGCTTTCAATCCACAACAATAATGTGTCTCCATCAAAACCTAAAAGTACGTTTACTGTCAAGTTTCATCCAACAATATACAAACCGGTTTTGATGTCATTGGTGAACTTTTCAATAAAGCATTTGTAATTGCCATCAAAACTATATCTTGGTGACACGATACTTATGTCGATATTAACATCAACTTAAGATGCACCTCAAAATTACAGCAAATTACAGCTTTAAGGGATAGTTCACCGAAAACAATAAAAAAAAATCATTCATTATCTGCTCCCCACTATACCTTAGGAGGGGTGGACAAAGTGTTTTGTTGTGTGGAGACAGGTGAATTTACATTTTTTGGTCAACTGTCCCTTTAATGTAAGCCACCTATAAATATTGAATTCAGTTAAGTCCCAACATCAACTGGTTCCAGCACAAATTACAATATCTCATGTGGATTCTGAGGCATCCTTTGGTGGTGAAGCTTTGGGTTAAGGTTGTCCCTCTGCGCTCTGGGTTGTTGTCTTATAATAGCTGCACTTTTTTTTGTGCAAGTATAATTGTTGACAGGAACGGAACCTTTCAGGACACCCCTTACATTTGATGGGCCTCTCTCCTGTGTGGATGCGATAGTGTTCAATCAACAGCCATTTGTTAGATATTAACTTCTTACACTTCAAGCAGGCGTAACCCTCAGTCGTCTGTACACCCATTGTTTTCCATCCTTGACTGGGCCCTTTCTTAACATTATTACTGCTGACAGTGCTACTTGAGTCTTTGCTTGGAGAAACTGAATCCCCTTCGATGTCCTCTAGAGGCATGGTCCATGCAAGGTCTCCATTTGTCTCAGCTGGCTTCATTTTGTCCTGGTGTTTTTTTGTCATGTGTTTTTGGAGGACATCATTAACATGGAATTTCTTCTGGCACACACTACAAGCAAACGGTTTTTCAATAGTATGACTGTGAATGTGTTGCATGAGCTTGCCTTTTGAAGAACTCTTCTTCATGCAGCATGGACAGCTGTACATTTTGTTGGACCCATCTTTCTTGGAAGTCAACAAGAGTTTTTCACGTTTCCTGCGCTGTGATTCGTTAGCCAACACTTTCTTGAGTTTTTTGCAAAGTCTTTTATGAGACTTCATATCACATGGAAAAGGGAACACTTTTCTGCATCCTCTGCAGCACATGTGTGATCGCGCATGCACACGCTGGCCAAATTCTGTATTAAATGTCTTGCTACAGAGATTGCAAGTGTAGATCCTCGCACCATTTTCCACCGTCTCCTGTTCTGTGGTCTCAGTTGTGTTTTTTCTCTCCTCTCTGCTGCTCGTCACTGTGCATGTTTGCCCTTTTTCCTTTAATTGTCTCCGTCCTCTTCTCACACCCACACTGGCCGTTTTGTCATGATTGTCCGGTTTGAGACCTTGAGGCAATTTCTTCTTGTCACTTGTCTGTGATTGAGGTTGCGTTTCTTGGTTGTACACTGGTAATATTATTGTTTGAGTGTGCTTTTCACTCGAGGTACCTATGACAGAAAAAAATGCCAAAAAGGTAACTGTGACCCAATGAAAAATCACAGATGAAATGCATATAACATATTAATTTAAGAAGATACCAGCCAAGTGATATTTAAAAAGTGTTGGGTCACATTTAAACCAATAATGTCTTATTTTACCCAGTTTAAAAGACAAAAAGAAAAAAATTGTGTGTAGTTTTCTTGTACCTATATGTAGTAACCCTAAATATGCACCTTCTTTATTATATGGTGACCCCATGTATAAACCATTTTAACCCTCCAGGTACACGCAAAGTACACATGCAATTCAGGCTTTTTAACAGTGTTTGGTGTCTATTTTGCAACCTGTACACTGAATAATCCAAACATCAGTTTCCACCATACCAAACTTCTAATAAAGAAATAGTCCCTGTCAAAACTCTACTCTGTGTTTCGGTGGATTATCCACACTTTCTCAAAAAATATTTTTAAACTGAATGTCTTTAATGATAAACACCAACAATTAATTTCCCCCAAATAGTGTAAATAAATGTAAACATGAAAATATGCCATTCAAATATTTATTCTGCCAATACCAAAAATATACAGCACAGAAATATTTATGAAGGAATTGGTGAAGAATGAAACCCACCTCTCACGGATCTCCTGAGACCATGTTCTTGCTGGGGGGGGTCAGTGTTCACCACCTAGAACACAGACGTTTTTGGTTACACTTGATCTCCAACGATACACAAAGCAAAGCACTAAATGAAATAGGTACACGTCGAAGTGTGTCTGTGTAAGCAGCCCATAATGAGATCAATTCCTTGGATTGAGACTATCATGACTCTGCCTCATTGTGAGTGAGTCAACACACTATCTCTTCAAAACCAATTTCAGCTGAAGACAATGCAGCCTAATCTGACAAGAAAGTGAGTCAGGTCAGCACAGTATAAATCAGTACTTTAGCCTTTCCTAGAAAATTTATGCCAGAATATAAAGGTCACAGAAATAAAACATACTTTATTTATGACAGAACATGTCTGGTCTATGTCATGCCACTGGGTGACAAAACATCTGTACCATCAATGTGTCCAGTGCACCAGTCAAATTAAACAGGATGTCATTAAAAGTTTTCTGTGCTGCTCTATGATGCCTAACTGTAATGCCACCACATCCAGACTCAGTTACACACCTCTTGCTTGATGACTGGAATCCGGCACAGCGGAATCAACACCTGGCGTAGTCTGACACTGGGACACACATCATCTCGCTTGGTCGTGGTCTCATCGCCCAGGGGAGCACACCAGTCGTCAGGCACTAATCAATTGACAAAAAATAAACATTATCGAGCTTTATATTTTGTGGCAGCAAGAAATATGAATGCAGGCACATCCCGGAAAATGCTTTTTCTTTGCTAGTCTAGTGGACTGAAATTTATCAGACAATATCTAGTGCCAGTGCATTACATTTTCATGAACCTTCAGGGTTATAATTCACCTAAAACTACTAAAGCTATACAACTTGTTCCCACACACCTTCTAAAACGTATCTGGCTTTATACTGCTGGTGTACTACTTGTAAATGGTGACTTGTGCAGTTATGTGTACTACATGTATGTAAAAATGTTTTCACTGTTCTCATCAAAAACCTTAATTACAAAAATTATACACAAGAACTGTAGAAAAATAAAACATGATAGCAACATATTTTGTCAGGTTACCTCCAATATCAATCTCAGGTGCATCAGCAGTTTGTCCACAGGGGTTCCCAACAGCCTCCGGCTCTCTTTGATTTAATTTTCTTATATTTGTCTCAGTTTCATTTATCTCCACTTCTCTGTCAGCTCCAACCTCATATTCCTTCAGCTTGATCTCTGCAGTCTGTAACTTTATTTTGAGATGAGCCACCTCCTCGCCTTTATGCGCCAGCTCCATTTGATGGTCATGTAAGCTGCTCTCAAAGATCGACATTATCTCACACACAGCCGTGCTCAAGACGGACTCCAAGGCTGTGTTTAGCTTGGTCCTGAACCCTGTGACTAGACAGTTAGGCATCTTTGAAGATGTGAGAGTTTTGTGTAACGTTGTACGGTCCTTTCGTAATCAATTACTGCCTTGAACAAATAAAGAAGAGATCAAGTTAGGGTCATTTACAAAACAGCATATTGTTATCTAAAAATGGACACTTATCAGGGTGTAGGTTTAATGATACTCTGAGCATCCCTCATCCATATGAACAGGGTTTAGAGCAACCAGATGATCAGTGATGAGGCGTTCTGGCAGAAATAATGCAGAGGTGGTATTTATCATTCATTGTGGACATTCTCTGGAGTTTCTCCTCCCAGCCCCCCAGTAAACAATGTTAAAGCGAGCCCATGCGAGTAAGACAGCAGGAGATTCTCCGGGGGATTGGCCACAACAAGTGGGTATGTTGATTACTTTTCTAACACAGAAGGAAACTGGAAGAAAAAAATCTCACAATGAAAAAAGGGGTGTCATACACATGGAAAACACCACAAAAGATAACAGCATGGCAAAACGAGATTCTAGAGCTTTCGGTGATGACGATGGTGTCGACGTCCACAGTGAAATCTATCCGTTGCGTCCTGCCTCCTGAATGCTGTTTCAACCCTTGCTTGAACCCAACAGACCATTTTCTGTTGTTTGAAACGTGTCTAGACAGAGAATCTCCCGCTGCGTTTTTCAGATGTAAAAAACAGTTCAGGTCTGAGAACGACGTTTGAGAAGAAACCAGCAAACACAGAGGTTACTACATGAGTCACAGGAGGGCTGGGCAAAACACAATATCTATTAGTATCACAATATAATTTTCATCAATAGCGATATCCCAAAGGTTCAATATATACCACTATAATATCGAATGCATTGTGTAAATACAGTGAGGAGGTATTACACATAACTGATCTTGCTGTCTGACAAATGTTTGTGAAACTTCACTCAAGAAATAAACATCATGAAATTTATTGTGATATTTATCGATTGACTAGTATGAAACTTTTCATTTAAGGCCATATCAACACATAACTCACTGAATACACTACGATGTTTTCCAGTGATGCTGGATCACTGGTTCAGAAAACCACTGGATGTTTAATCATAACGTTATGTTAGCTAGCTGAGTTTATTACTCAGTGGATGCGTTAACTCTGGACGAGAGCAGAGAATGCTTCACACGTGTACAGCTGTTGAGATCATTATTTTAATGATCTTAACATTCTTAAGTTAGAAGCTGAACACACAGATGTTACACATGGCGGCAAATTGTTGTCGCTACTCACCGTAAGCTAGAAGAAAGAGAACGGAGCTTCGTCTGCAGAGGTTCTCGGTGCGCAGCTTCGTCTGGAGACCGGAAGTGTTTCAGATGAACCGTGAACAGGCCCCTCCGTGTCCGACGGCTAACTACGACATCCACAGTTTGATTCCCCTTGCATTAAGTACAGCAAAACCACTGCACGTTAGGCCACCAGTCCGCCATTTTCACCTAGTCTCGCAGCGCAGAGAGGTAACTTCTGGCGGTTGCAACGTCATCTACCACATCCGGTTCCTGTTCCTCCGGTTCCTGTTCCTCCTCCTCCTCCTCTTTCTTCTTCTTCTTCAGTAAAACCACATTTCAAAGTCATTTGTTGAACATAAAGATCTGAAGCTGGTTCTCATCACTAGATATGTCTCAGCTCATATAAGTCCTTTACTCTCCTACTTTTCTTTTTGTTCTGAAATTATTCCTTGAAATCAGCCATTTTCCATAATTAAATTTAATTTAATAATTTAACTTGTATTAAAAACCATATTCAGTGATATTGTAAAAATGGCAGTCAATTATATAACTGGTATCTAATTGTATTTCGACATGATAGGTAAATCATTTTAATTTATACAAGGTCCATCAGAATCAGAATCACCTTTATTGCCAGGTATGTGAACACACACGAGGAATTTGATTCCGGTTTTACTTAGCTCTCTTAGTACAAACAGTTAAAAAAAAAACGAAAGCATAGACATAAACAAGAACAAAGACAAAAGACAAAAGCTATGTACATGTAAAAAAGCTAAATAGTTTGGTGCAATGGTGCATAGTGCATGGATGAAATAATAAATATAAATATACAGTGTGCACAGTATGTTGGTATGTACAGATATTTTACAGGTGATGTTACTGATATTTGAATCAGATGTCCTGAGGGAGACTACTTGTTCTTTATTTTCTTTCTTACATCTCATTAAATACAATTTTTTGCACCAGCTTTCTTCTCACTGATTTTAATTCAGAGGCCAAACAAAAGCTTTTCTGCCAAAAGGTATTTCTTAATTTTATATATTTATCTCACTTCAAAAAGATGCTCAAATGGTGCAGGACAGGTGAGAATCTGTCAGGGTCAACAGGGGTTTCTCATCGGGACATGCTGACATGTCACAGTAGGTAACTCATACACGTAAATTATATTAGCTAGAACGGCACTCACATAAAACCACATTTAACTTCACTAAATCTGGACCTTTATCTGGATCTGCACCAAATTGCATACAGTCATAAATATTAGTCCCCTAAACATGTCTGATTTTTATATTAATATCCATTAATTATTCTGAGAAATCAATGAAAATGCTGCAAAATCTCACAATATTAAAGAAAGTGAAATAATTATTGAATCCACCCCCTGATCCTCTGATCTTTCCACCAAGTGCAGTTATGGCCCTTCTAGTAGTTTGGGGGGTAATCCTGCTAATTAACTAACAAACAAATGCAGATGAATCTAACAGTAAAACCTGAGTTTGTATAATGTAGTGCATCTTCATGAGGCTGGAGAATCAAGGACAAGAGTGATTCATTTGTTGTTGACATGATTTACTTTATTGCATTTAAAAAGGGGGGAAGGAACAGTGCAAAGCTAAAGGGTCCTGCTAAGTGCTTATAAGACAGGCATACAGTATCAGGTGTCTGCTTTTTCATTCCGTCACTGTCGACTATGCTTGTACATGTTAGAAAATCATGACAGTATTTTCTATGTAAGTGTGTTCACCTCCATCTCAGGCAAAAGTACTGTTGTTCCAGGCTACGTTGGCTGCATCCATGTCAAAAAAGTTAACATAAATCCTGAAATAGACAGAAAGGGATAAAGGTTAATGGAACTGGACAATAACAGAGTGTCTGAGTTTTTGTCCCCATGCAGCCTTTACTCATCAAACTGGCAGCATTGAACATACAGGTAGATCAGTGTATTCCCTACCTGTCAGGAGAGATGCCCAGGTGTTTGTTGAGGAGACCACACAGAAGTTTAGAGTACTTCTTGTTGTGAGCGCCACTGATTTTTCCAATACTGTGGAGGGAGCAGAGGGCACAGGGGTCTCCCTTTCCTCCAAACATCATCATTTGGTCAGGGTTGATGTGAACAGCTATATACTGGTAAACAAAAGAAAGGTACACACAACAGAAGTCAACCCACACTGGATGAATCTGTAATTGTGTCAGTTGCTGAGGATCTTGTCCTTTTTTAAACTCTCTGTTTCTTATTATTTTCAGATATTAAGTTATTTCAGCTGATAAATCCTACTGTGTTGGTAGCCTGTTATTACAGATGCTCCAGTTCCAACATTGGAAATGCTGGATACAGCTAAAAATGCTTCTTTGAAGCATATAAGTTTCACCCGGTTAAATCTGTTAATATGTCATACTGTAATATTGCACATGTAAAAAATTGCAGTCTAGGTATTGGATTCAGGACAACATTGTCCATTCTATTTCATATTAGTAATTATTTTGAAAAGGTTTCTCACTATAATAATTTGTCTTATCTTTTTTTTCAATAAAGTGGTGGACAGGGACTTCCATATTAATTATTCATAGTATTTGTTATACATCCTCCTCAAACGTGCCTGGAGATGAGGTGGGTTCAGTGAACTCACCGATCATTAACTCATGCTCTTCAAACATTTGTCAGAACCACAGACAGTCTGCGATTAAGACTGCGTTTGCATAATTGCACAAGATAAACGTGGGTATCACTCATGCAACAGAAGGTGCAGAATGTCTTCTGTAACTTTGGTATAAATGTCAGTCACTGGTGGGAGTGAACTCTGTGTGATGAGATGTTGCGTGATGGAAACAAACAGGATTTCTGTGAACAGGTTGTGCAGGACTGAGCTGAGCCCGGCCTACCTGTGCAGGTTTGCCCATTTCCTTAGCCAGCTCCTCGGTGGCCTCGGACAGCAGCGCCGCGGGCACGTCGCCTTTGGCCACGTTGGTGTTCACCACAAACATCGGCATCTTGCTGGTTGCAGGTGGTTCAAGTTTCCTTCGCTCGCTGCAGAGTCCGCGGGACAGATCACACACACACACAGCCGGAAGTAAAGACTAAATCTGCTCTTGATCGTGTTGAGAGTGTGGAAACATGTGAGTTAAATGACCACAGCGCCTCCACTCGGTCTGGAGGTGACGACACACGCTGTACACAACTACTATTATAACATCTGGAAATTATTTTATTTTTGTGGTGTTGATTATTTGTTGCTTGGCACAAATGCTTAGAACAGATTAAGCAGAAAGTGATAGGAGAAATATCAGTGCGTTTTATTTCTTCCTCTTCTTTGGATGGTCAGAGTGGAAGCTTCAATTGCGCATTGCTGCTACTTTTTAATTACAAGTCCTTTATTAAGCCATTTACAAGTTGCATTTACATATATATTAAATATATACTGTGCTGATTTCCCTTCATTATCTTCAGTTTGGTCCAGATGACCAGTAAAATACGCAGGGTGCTTTTTTGGTTTCCTGGGTGCGGCCACCCTGGAGTGTAGGGTAATTACGGTACCGCGCATGCGCAGTGCGGACGCCAGTGAGCGGCGCTGAAGGAGGCGAGAAGGAAAACAGTGGCAGAGGGAGAGAGCGAGAGAGAGGCGAGAGAGAGGCGGCAGAAGTTGGACGGTGCTTTCCTTTGTCGCCTCGTCTCGTCGCTGCGTTCACCGAAGAACCGCCGAGCTCCTCCGGGAGCCGTGAACCCGCAGCGCCGGTCGCCGCTTCGCCTCCACTCCGCCAGCTTTCCTCGATCGGAACACGAAGCTAAATTAGCCGAGCTGCTAAGACATTGACTTTAACAGCCGAGCAGAGGCTGCTGCTCCTCCTCCACTTCAACGCTGCTGGATGTAGATCCTTTATACAAGTTTACCAACAAGCTAACCCGACACAGGTGATGTATTCTGGTATTCACTGTACTGTCACTCCACCGTCTGACATTTTAAATAACGGGTGACGCGCAGTGTGTGATTGAACGATAATAGAGATTGAATAACCATGTGTTACCGTGTGATTCACGCGTTACTGTCGCTGTAACTGGAAACCATCGAGAAATAAAGTTGATTTTTCTTACTGACATCGATTACTTGGGTCTGTGTTGGGGATGTTCACAAGCTAAAGCTAACCGACCGCTTATACAATGTGAAACTGCTGTGATTCAAGCTGAGGAAACTGGCTCAAATGTGATGATAATAACATTGAAACTGTCATTGAAACACCATCAGGGCCGCTCCTCTTCGTCCATCCGCCCCGGACCCATGACCACGATGATGGAGGAGTCGGTGACCACGTTCGAGACGCATCTGACGGCTGTCATGGACAGTCTGATCCGGGCGTCGGTGTGCGAGATCACCAAACTCTTCCAGGAGACGGTGAACGACTACCTGGTGGAGCTGTCCCTCAACAGGAAGGAGAACGAGGCGCTCAAGCTGCGGCTCCGGCTGACCGAGAACAAGCTGAGGACCGAGCGCAAGTACGGGATGGGCTGGGCGGCCAACCGCCGCAACACCGGGCTGGAGGAGGAGAAGAGAGCCGGAGGGCGCCAGAAACGGAAAGTTGAGATGGCCCGTAAGTATCACTAAGGCTGGCTTGAGGAGGGCCTTTCTCCTGCTCATCGAGGAAGGTTACATCATATCTACATTGTGACATACACGTAAATATAAAGCTACAGTTTCTTGACACCATGCAAACATCCTCCATGTTTCAGTGTGCTTGTGGTTTTTTAATGTGAGAAACCGGGTTCTTGCTGTGCACTAGGGGCTTATGTGAAGACGCACTTGTTTTGTTGGAAACCATCTGGCAAGAGCTGATCTCTCCCTCCCTCCTCTTTCGCTCCCTCCTTCCTCTCTCCCTCCCTCCCTCCCTGCCTCACTCCTCCGCCTCCTCTTCATGATCTCTCCCTCTGTCCTTCACCTCCCCCTCTCCTCTCTTTCTCTCTCTCTCTCTATCCTTGCATTCTGTCCCTCCCACTCCTCTGTGCTTCTGCACACCCGCTCCCTTCCTGCCTTGCTCCTCTCCCTCCCCCCMCCTCCTTCACTTCTCTCTGCTGCTCTCAAACTCTTACCTCCTCCCCTTCCCGCTCCTCTCTCCTTCACGCCCTCTCCCTACTCTCCCCCACACGCCCCCGCCTCCTCCTGCTCTGTTCTCTCCTTCATCACGTTGCATGCTCACTCTCCCACTTCCTCCCCTCCCCTCACCGACCTCCTCCCCTCCACTCCTCTTCCGCTCCTCTCCGCCACCACTATAATTACACACTCCCTCTCCACTTCCACTTCTCCTCTCTCTCTCTCTCTCCTCTTCTTTTCACCTCTTTATCACCCCCCCTTCCCTCTCCTCATCCCCTACACCCTGCCAACTCCACTCCTCCCTCTCTTCTCTTCTCTGTCTCTGACTCCTCTCTTCTCGGTCACGTTTTTCTCTCCTTTCTGTTTTCTTGTCTGTCCTTCTATGCACCCTCTCGCCTCACTCATTCATCACACTCACTTCTCCTCCCCCTACTCCCCTTCCTCTCCCCCCGAACTCCCCTCCGCTTCTGTCTGTTCTCCTCTGCATCTCAAATCCCCTCCTCCTTGTCTCCTTCTTCTACACCCTCCTCTCTCCTTCATCTCTCCTGGCCTTCCAATCATCTCCTCCCACTCATCCTTCTCTCCCTCTCATATTTCATTCTCTCTCCTTCCTGTCTCCCTGTTCCCTCCCTCTCTCCTTCCCCCTCCCCTCCTTACTTTCTCCTTCCTCTCTCAACCTCCCTCCCACCCTTACTTCATCTTCCTCTCTTCTCCACAGGAGGCAAGTCAAAGAAGGGCCCGGCAGCAGCCTATGGCAAAGGCTGGCCTGGAGGTGTGTGGGAGGAAGAAGGAGGTGGAGGTGGCAGTGGCAGCAGTGGCGGGGGCGGAGGAGGAGGAGGAAGTGGAGGAGCTGTGGGGATGGTAGCAGGAGCAGGAGGAAGAGCGGGGAAGGAGGCCAGGGAAACGTACCTCATCCACTTCCCTGGGGATGAAGAGGATGAGGGAGGGATGGCGGAGGACGAGGCAGGGGAGGGCAGCCTCAGCGGTGAGGGGGAGGAGACGGCCAACATCAAAGAGGAGGTGAGGGAGATGGGCTTTCTCAGAGGAGGAGGAGTAGGAGGAGAAAGTGGCACAGCATTTCTGCACTGCTCAAGAAGCTTCATTTAGAATGAGAATTAACGTAGACAAGAAGAGGGCGATGATACAGAGAGACAGAGAGATTTGCTTGTATTTTTCAGCCATCAAATCACTGCGGAGATGTAGTGGATAAAAGGAGGCCACTGATTTGATATTTAGCCTCCAGAGGGCTGCGTTGAAAAGGGCTCTCCACATCTCAAGTGCAGTGAGCTTTTACTGGTCGAGGTGAAAAGCTTGTTGCTATTCCACTGCATGACCAAATGGCAGGACAACGGTGGCAGATTGAGGTGGTTATGGGCCTGGAGGCTATTCTCTCTAGCCCCCCTTTTACTCATCATGCTTTTCCATAAAAAAAAGCAATTTATTGCCACATGTATAAGTGTGCTAGGATTATTACATGGCTCTTATGGACACACTTTGAGACGGCTTTCAGTATAAATGGCTTTTGAAAAAGGGAATTTAAAGTAACCTGTAGCTTTATAAACCAACAGGTACAACATCTGCAGCAGTACACAACACCTCGCTTCCCTGAGAGCAAAAATCACAACATCCTAACACAAACACAGATTGAACCACTGTGCAAATTTGAGAAAATCAATGCCAAAATACAATAAACATAAGAGCAACATGTAATAACAGTATAATGCAACAGCAGCACAATTACAGTTTTTATTCCTCCATGCTGACAAAAGCTGTGGACAGAGGCAAGATATTTTCAGGTGTTTCATCTGCCCCATTCTCATGAATGCGATATCTCTGTAATGCCTGGAGAGAATTTCATTAAATCTGGCACAAATGTCCACTGGGACTCAAGTATGAAGTGACGAGAATTTGATGGTCAAAAGCACTGCCTCATAAAATTTGTTTTTGATCTTAACTCAAGAATGCATACACTAATTTAAAATGTCGAACAGGATAAAATAATGAATTTTCCAACCTGATCTTCCTCCTGATCACCTGTGTGTTTCTTTTGAAGAATATACTGAATATTGTAGTAGTGATACCTCTAATGCCGCCCAGAATCAGCATGTGCGTTTGCCTACTCAAAGTACGCAAAATGTGCTAACCTGCTAAAAGCCTCCCTGTGAAGTCTGTCAGGGTGTTTTCATGACTACTAAAACAGCTTTAAGAAATCTAACCAATCACATAACTTTGATCCCAGGTACTTTAAAACATAATAATTATGACTTGAGGCTATGATAAACAAGGGCCTATACATGTATCAATAAATAACATAGATTACAGTTGATTGTTGTTTAACTCTGGTTTTTTTTAATGTAGTTTTGTCAAACAGAAGGTTATCAGCCCGCCTCTCTACGGCTATTAAAGGAGGCTATGAAGATGGACCTGTCCAACCAGAACCTCCACACAGGCTCCAGAGCCCAAAGCGAAGGTAATGAGCCCAGGACACACAAATGGAGGGAGGGAGCATTATACCAGTGTAGTACTCAGAGACCAATAGTTTAAAAGAAAATGTAAATGATTGCACATACCAGCTCTCTCACTATCTTTCCCTTCTTCACATCTCTCCACCTCCTCCTCCGTCTCTATTCAGGAGACCTGTCAGATCGCCCCCCGTCCCTTCATCCAGGAAAGACAGAGGAGGAGGACTGGGAGGTGGGCTCAGCATCAGAGCCATCAGAGGGCGGCATGACCGTGGATGAGCTGAGGGGTCTGGAGTCTGCGCTGAGGGCTGAGAGAGGCCGCGAGCAGGCTGCCATTACGGCTTCCCAGCCTGTCAGCCCAGAGCCAGAGGTGGTTCGAGGCAGTGATCTCAGCTCGCCACCCAAGTATATAGGTCTCGATGGCATGGAGCAGGATGGAGAGCTGGAGCCTCAGCCGCCCACGCTGCAGAGAGAGGACCAGATAGGGCAAGGCAGGGCAAAGGACAGCATGAGTGCAGGAGTGGAGCTGAGATTAGGCTGGTCGAAGAAGTTGAGAGAGGGCGACCTGGAGGCGGGTATGACTGGAGAGGATGTGGTGGAGCAGGGAGAGTCTGATCACCCGCCCCACTTGTCTGCTCCTGGGAGTGTCGGGGAGAGCGAAGGGGAGGAGGAGGAGGGTGGTGGAGACCTGCTCCACTTTTGCCCACAGTGTGGAGGAGGCTTCACCACAGAGGCTGAGCTGGAGGAGCACCCATGTCCACTAGGAGGCGCCCATTTACAGAACAGTGGAGCAGAGGAAGGCCTTTTTCCTTGTGCCCACTGTGGCAACACATTCAGTCACTCCTGGGCTCTAAAGAACCATGAGTGTGCCTGCGCTGCCGAGCGGCCGCACTGTTGTGAGATTTGTGGGAAGCGCTTCACACACTCACGCTCCCTGGAAAGGCATCATCTGGTGCACACGGGGGAGAGGCCGCACCGGTGCCCACAATGTGGACGCAGCTTCAGTCGCCTTGGCAATTTGGAACGGCACCAGCGGATCCACACAGGTGAACGTCCATACGGGTGTGAGGCGTGCGGAAAACGCTTCAGCCGTGTGGAGTACTTAAAGAGACACCAGCTCATTCACAACAGTGAAAAGGCAGCACTGCAGTGCTCCAACTGTGGGAAAGGATTTAGTGACGTGGAGCAACTGAAGAACCATCAGTGTTTTTAAAAACTCTCCTTTAAATCTGTGGCAGCAACACAAAGAGACAGACAGCGTTTAATTGAAGGATGTGAAAGTGACTGTGACCTTCTAATTTTGTTGTCAGTGATTTGAAACCGTTCCTCTTACACTCTGACAGCATGTGAAGTTAAACTGAGTTAAAGAAGCAGAAACATGTGTGGAGGATTTTTGTTGAGTAAATAACGAAGGCAAAGCTGAGAGGGTGACGGGTGTATATGTTTCTCTGTAGGAGGAGAAATAAACCTCAGACATTTGAATTGGAGGTGTACAAAGCTTTTACTTATTTATGATAGTAATTTTTTGAAAACCTTTATATTCATAAATCCCTCATGTTAACCTTGTTTTTCTCTGACAATATAATTGACAGCTTGGTGTTTTGTATGTTTGTGTTTTGGTCATATCTTTTGGAAATAAATATTTCAATTCATCAAAAGGCTTGCCACACACAGTCTTGATTTATTGATAATCACAAGTTTAGTAAAGATGTTACAAGAATTACAAGATCATATTTATCAGAAACACTCATTTCCAATCATCATGAGACAACTATTCAATTTCAGTTGTTCATTTGTACAGCAATAAGATTGTGACTCAACACTAGGGGGCGTGTGTGTACACTTCCTGACGCCCATACAACTCAGACACTGATACATAAGGCATGAATGGGAAAGTTAATGCTAAAAGCACTGTCACCCTTTGTTACTGTCAAATTAAAAATCAAAATGACTGATCTGCATGTTCAAGCTGTGTTTTCAGGATATCTGACGACTGCATTTCAAGCATATTTTTCTTTATTAGTGACACTGTCCAGCAAACAGACTGATGGGCATCCCCAGCCTTTTTCCCAGGATGTCCTCCAGAGCCTCCAATGTCATCCGCTTCACATCATAACCTCGCACCGATATCCTCGCCTTCACATTAACTGGCACAATCTCCTCTCCACTGTCTTGGTCATTTCTTCCCACCGCTGCGTATGTGGGGAAAGATTTGCGCTCAGATTCAGATATTTTAGATTTGTAGGTTGGGCAACAGTAGGCAGACCACATGTACTCAGGAACAGAAACTCTGTTGTTGATCCAGCGCGCTTCAGGCTCATAAGGCAAGGCCCCTGTGATCACATACATCGGCCCCTCACAGAACATATTGAATTTTCTCATTACTTCCTTCTCTAGTCTGTTCCAGGGGCCAGAGTTGGAGGCTGCAATCTGGGGGACAATGTTGGTCAGGGTGAAGGTGGCCTCCCGGTTCTCCTTCGTTTTCTGGTGCATGCTGGGATTGAGATGGCCTTTTGTGTAGTTGGACTCCTTGTAGTCCTGGAGCACCGCCTGGCTCTCGATCACATTCTGGTCCAGTGGGGTGTGAAAAGGTGTCATCTCAGAGCTGGCACGAGAAAAGGCCAACTAAAAGACACGCAGGGAGAGAGACAGAGACATGTCAAAAAAAGTGTTTAGTTGCTTATTGATACTTTATGAAGCTTAGGAAGTTCAATCAGGATGACTATCTCTGCTCAATTCAGTCACAATTTACTCCCCCCACCTCTTCAGATCAGATGTCTGTCGGAGGTGTAATCCAATTAGATTTTGCCGTGATCTCAATCAGCCAGACATTTTGTGACTGTCAAACTTTAAATTTGTTCTTCTCTCTCTCTCTGGCTGTCACGTCATTGCTGTGATTCACCCTCGTCTTCCCCACCTCCAGTCTCCATGTCCAGCTAGGGAGCTCAGTCCTCTTATCTCATTCCGATCCTCAACATTATCTCATTTATATCACATCACTTTCTCTCTTTATTTTGCATGGTTTTAATTTTTGTCCATTTACTGAAAAATTTAATTGTGGGACCAACTTAAAAATTACACAAATTAATAAAGTTTGTTCAACAGTTACAAACTTTTAACAAGTTATATTAACACAATTACTAACTAATTCAAATTCATTTAAACAGACACCTCTGCTGTAACCTCTCGTTTCTGTGGGCGATCTTCTGAGTTATTTAAACAAACTTAACTCAGCACTTTAAAGTCACTGAGCCAATGAGAGAGCCCATGTCAGAACACTAGTTTTTCTCAAGATTCTTAGCTTATCCTTACACAACATATCTCAAACAGTAGCACTGAACAGAAAAAGTTTAGTATGGACATCATACACTGTTTTTCTACGTACCTGTGGTTCATACATCCAAGAGATATTAGGACGTTTGCCGTCTGCAGGGCCGAGTGTGTAGGCAGAATACAGTGGTGTGCGATGCACACGGTGATACAGGCTGGCAAAGTGATACTGGTTTTTGTAGCGCTGGCATATCGGCTGGTACACTTCTGCATTGAAGCCCTGTGGCGGAGACCTGTCATAGAAAAACTCAAGGCATTTGGAAAAGTCTCTGCTGACCTCTCCGAGGACCAGGCCACCAAACCAGGACAGGAGAAGAAGCAGAGCTCCTGTGGACAACTGCAGCATCTTCCTTTGAGACATGCTGTATGTTAGTCTGCAGGACTGAAACTTCAGAAAACACAATCTTCCTCTCTGACAAAGCCCCAAAGTTAAACAAGACCTATATTTCCTTATATTTTCTGTCCATTCAGCGTCTAGCATGCAGGTCCTTGTGAGCTGTTGCTGATGTTTCCTCTTATATACACTAGCAGCAGGAACCCTGTGGGTGACAGAATGACACACCCCCAACATCAATATGCAACACAATTTCCTGTTAACTGGTAAAGGCTACTTTCTGAGAAATTATGGATATTTGCATATCCTTTTTCATCGGTCAGCAGAAGTAAAGACAATGTTGTTTCGAGTCAAACCTGTGAACATCTTCTACGAGAGATCATTTTAGCATCCATTGGAAGGAAGAGCTGTGAAAAAACATGAGCGTCTTGCATGATGCAGAGCTCCGTATCCCACATAGCAAATTTGTTTTGACCCAGATTTTGCCTGAACTGTCACACTGTCATCCGGCCCACTTATAACGTTGAATGATGGCACTTGGTCCACACCTGTTTGCCAGATCTGGGCCATAATTAAACCATAACAATATCGCATTTCAGTCAAAGGTGCTAAAGGTTACCCCAATTTTTTTGTTTGTGCTCTTTCGGCCATATTCACCATTTATTACATGTGCCACTTTAGCATGATTGCCACATGATTCCTATGAGCAATGTTTCATTTTCTGTCTCCTGGTTTCTGTATGAACAACATATAAAAGCTCCATATTCTGTACATAATACTTCTGTTATTTCGCAATTTTACAAAAGTGCTTCCCGTTATACGTACTTCGTGTGTTGGTGGGAAAACCCTCTGCTTCGAATCTTTCAAAAATAATCATTTTACTGGAGCTTGTGAAGTAAATGTTTGTTTGACGAAAGGAAATAAAGATGGGGGAAACCAGAATTATGTACATTACAAATAAAAGCTGTGAGTTAACTTGGATGAGTATATACTGATATTTGTTCTGAGTATGGATACTATCGTCAATGGATTGATTCAAAATAGAAAAAAGTCACATTCTGAGCTCCAAACATAGATTTTATTGCAAGCACTCTTTGCTCCTCTGCCTTTTTACGTTTACGTGTGCATCCTGTATGAATTTACACAATTAAGGTAATTAGTGAATGGTGATTAGTTTTCTAAATAATATAACCGCTATCAATATCAGTGCCTGCGAGGGCTATTGTCAGGATTCTGGTTCTCTGGAGGTTTGTGTAAAAAAGGATTTGATCAGTGAACAGAGCAGCACAAGCTATATCTTAAAGGTACAATGTGTAGAATTTAGTGATATCTAGAGGTGAAATTGCATGTTGCAGCTGAACAGCCCTCACCTCACCCTCTCCTTCCAAACATAGACAGAGAACCTGTAGCAGCCTTCAGTTGTCATAAAAACTCAAAAGGTGTTTAGTTTGTCCCCTCTGGATTAATGTAAAAAATATGGCGGCCTCCGTAGAGAGGGTCCCCTCAATGTAAATATAAAGTATTTAAATACAAAGGGCCCCTTCTAGTGTATAGAAAACAACAATTACTACAATTTTGATGAAACACACTAGTGAAAACATCACTAGGGTTTTTTATATTCACTTTGGGCCAATAGATTCTTTTCTCCTAAATCTTACACACTGTACCTTAAAAGGTGTCTCTGAGAGGCAGGTGGTAGACTGCACATCGTGAAAATGAGAATGTAATAGGTATAATAGAAAACGTTTGTGGGAGCATCAACTGGTGTGAGGACAATGTGAGGACAACTAATTTTAGTTATTTCTGTCCAGCAGCTAAGTTTGTAGTCCTCCCTTCTGCTTTTCTGAAACACTGTACATCACAGCCCTCTGCTGTGCACTTAGAGGAACACCTGTTCAGGAACAAATGTTGAAACCAGCTGCCCTGTGAGCAATAACGCTGAAGACTTTACAGTCAGTGTTGATGAGGTGTAACCAGTGGATGGTCGAAAATCCCCATTGTTCTTTTGTAGTTTTTGACAGAGCAGAGATACTAAGTCTCGGTGATGTGCTCTGTGTCAGCAAGTTTCCCTACTTCTTCCTGGATCTGTGTTTGTGACTCAGAGGCTTCAGGGCGTGTTTTGGAATTTCTATTGAACACAATACGACCTGTCTGAACTGAGATTGAAGGCTACAGTTTCACACTGAAGTCTAAAGCAATTCATATATTCTTATAGTCCCCAACAATAGAGATATGGTCAAACACAAAGTTTACAGTATGTACAAATATATAAATGAGCTAGTTT